TATATGTGTATATATATATGTGTGTATATATATCTCCCTCTCTGCCCTTGTCACGTGGCCTCATTGGTCTGGCTGAATTGGCATTATTACAGCAGCCAGGGCTGAATGTCTGTGGTTGGCTCGCCGCCCGTCTGCTTGCCTGTCATTCAGCTGGTTAAAGAGGCCTTGTTGAACCGCTGCACTGTGCCTGGCTACTACAGGGCCATTCATGCCCGTAACGGCAGAAACAGCCAAGTCCTGTCATCAGCGCCAGCTAGCACATACCAATTTACTACTGGAAATGACAAGGTCATTTTGCTTGGTAAGCACAGTTTTCCCCCCTCGAGCAACCTCGTAACCCGTTTCTCAAAGTTTGGATTACATCTCAGAGAATGAGACGCTGCTCTCTAACAGAACGTCTTTAGACAAACACAGTGTTCACTGTTCACGTCTCAGATATGTTCTCTCTCTCTGTTGCATGTACGCCGCCTACATTGTGTTTAAAGTGAAACAGACTGATCTTTTCCCCAAGGAATTATACAACAACAGCACAAAACAACAAAACACATCATTTGCGCTGCCTCGGTGCTGGAAATCGCAGAAAGAAGTCTTGGAAATAAAACAGTGTTGTCACTCTCAGGGAGTTTTTCGCCCCCCCTCTTTCGTCAGTTGCTCTGTGTGCCTTTGGCTAATGGTGGCTCATCCTGTCACAGATGACCTGTGCCTTAGTGAACCGTTCTCTGTCCTCCTCTCAGTCCCAGTGTGACACACAGAGTGAGGACATGCATGAGAGCCATGACTTCATCCTGCGCTCTCCCTCCTTTCTCCACTTCGCCTCTTCCCTTGCGCTCGCCTCCTACTCCACTTTCTGTCCCTCTCTCATCCTCCTTTCCCTCTCTTGTCCTTTTTGTCTTCCTTTCCACCCCGTGCTCTGTCTGCAGTCCTAACATCTTCCTGCTATGATTAGCAGTAGTGTTTTTTTTCCCCAGCCAGTGTAATGTCTAGAGCCTCCTGTGTCCTTGGAAAGCAGCCTAATAAGCTCAGACACACACTGCTGTCTCTGCTCTCCACAGGCCTATTCTCCAGTGTCACCCTGCGCACACTGAGGTAAACAAAGACTGCCACACACGGACTGTACACACGCTATCCTGGTGTGCTAATAGACCGGCGTTGCAGCCTGCCGAGGACAGCTTTGACGCTAGCTTGCTAACGTTGACCTTCCGTATGCCAATCACAATAAATCTGCTCCCTGATTTGAATACGGGAGGAAAACAGTGTAAATTGAAAGCAGAAATCCCCCTGGTGTGAGACAAGATGAGCATCTGAATAAATTATTCAGATGGCAGCCTCTTTCCTGCATGATTCTTGCCTTCTGCTACGTTTAATGGCATCTGTGATGACGCCCATTGGAGATTAATCCAGATGTAAGACGTGTGTGTGTATCTGTGTGTGTGTCTGTGCTTACATTTGCGTGTGTGTTTCTGTCTCTCTGTGTGTGTGGCCTTCTCACCCTTCTTCTCATGCATCCCGTTGTGTCGTGTGATGGGGAAACAAAGCCCCGACAGGGGAATTTATTTCTTCTCTGGAGAGGGCTGTAAATAAACAACAAGTGAATCAATGCCTCCATTTGGTTTTTTTCTCTGATAATTCTGCCTGTGTCGTGCGGCGGTGTGACAGTATTTTGCGAGCCAGCGGAGCTCTCTGCAGCCATATTTCCTCTCGGCGAGAGTGAGAAAACATGCCACACTGGCCTCATGTTTCATTACTGGGCATCAGTAAATTACCGCATGCTTTTTTATATCACTCACTGCAGCTGATTTAGAGCCATGATGGAGCCTTAGTGTGAGTGGGAAAAAGCACCAGCATTGAATATCATGCTTTAGAACTATTCAGTCTACTACACACACACACACACAAACACACAGGAATAGGAAACACAGGTGCAATTTAATAGCAAAAATCCACAGCAGGTCCTGTGGTGAATGTGTTTCACTCTATGTGAGCACCATTGATTTGCTGCAAAAGGACGACCTTCCCTTACACAATCACAAATGTTTGAGTTAAAATATTCTACTGTGTCTCATGTTATTATCATATTAAAGGTGTAAAAAGTATGTTCCTACACATTTTTTTATTCGAGATGATGAATTCAGCAAGAGAACACATTTTATCGCTTACTGTCATTAGCTCTTTTACATGCAGATATTCCACTAGAAGGTTATATGTCCACCTGTTTGTGTTTGTTTGTGACCAGGATTATACAAAAACTGCTGGTCAGGTTTCCTCAAAACTTTGTGGAAGGGTGGGACATGAGGCAAGAAAGAACCTATTCAATTTTGGCACAGATCTGGATAAAGGGGCAGGAACAAGAATCTTTTAATGTTGCAAGATTTCTGGACATTTTAACCAATAGACTGATATTTGTGAGTGAGTGCAATTTAGTGCGACTTCATTGAATGTCAGGGGACTGTTGGTCCAAGATGAAGCACCACTCTAGTTTATTTACTTGTTAGTTAGCAGGATTACACAAAAAACACTGCATGGATTAGCACAAAACTTGGTGGAAGGAACCCATTAAATTTCGATGCAAATGTAGATCAGTGGGCGGACCCAGGATGTTTTCCAACATTTTCGTCGACTCTGATTGAATAATTAATGGATCCTGATCAGAAAAATCAGCCAGGTATTTGTCATTGTGTTCAATTTGGTGATAATAAAAATCCACTTCTAGTAAAATGTGGTTTTATAAGGGGACTGTTGGGCCTTTCTACAGTTTTATTCAGCTTCTGCCTCCTGCCCTAAACAATTCAGGTGAATTTTGTTTGTGCAATAGTGACATTTACAACATTGCGCTGTTATTGATGTTTCTGATACTCTGCCTTTACAGCCAAATCATTTTTTATATCATGGAAACTATAAACACTTCTATAATCTCAGGGACAGACGTTTTATAACCTTTACAAAATGAATAAATTAATTATGTTGGTGAGGTGAATCAACGCTCTTAACTGGAGGAATTGCATTTCTGTGGTCGTCAGTAATAATAATGAGCAGAGCAGAGGTGGCAGAAAATATGAGGGGAGTTACTTGTATTAGCCATGGTTGGATGACTAATAGGAGCAGTGAATAATGGTGTGAGCGGCGTGATCCCTCTTCTTTCGGAATAAAGGTAACCTCCCAGTGTGTAAACCTTGATTAGGAGCAATCGTTCAGCTAATGCTGCTGTTGGTAATGCCAACATGACTGCACATAAGAGACTCTAATGAGCGCTGGTTTACCATAGGGTTCTTTTGTGCTCAAGTACCCTTCTCTATATCCCATATCCAAGTGTGAAATTACAATATCAGATCATATTTAGTTAATTAAACCCATATGACTAATTTAATTTGACTCAAATATGGGGGGGAAATGAATAAATCATGGAGGCGTATTTAGCCAGCTAGTGCTGGTGTTAACAGTAATTAAATGTGGGGGAATCTGTAGCCTGTGAAGATAGCTCAAGTCTCTCCTGCTGTACGAGTATACACGTGGAGAAATAAAAACACAAATGTGAGTCAGACTGTTTTGCGAAGCAGTCTATCAGAATATTAATGAAAATGATGTGGGAGTTTCAAATGCAGAAATGAGCGAAAAAGAGTTTAATATGGAGTCCTGTAGTGTAAGCTAGTGTATTAATAGTCAGCGAGTGGTCTTCCCATTAGTAGATCTGCACGGTGTAGTTAAAGACGATCCAGAAGCGAGAGAAAGAAACATTCCTCCATGATTACAGCCCGGAGAGTTCAAAGACGGCTGCTTCTGCAGCGAGACGGGTGCAAAACATTCACAAAGGGAAGATGAGGAAATCAACTCGTATTTGTCATTTAAGCGTTTTACATTTCATATTTGGCGGGGATTAGAGATGCACATTCTCCCACAGCTCTGTCAGCCCTTGTTATGTGCCTCCAATCTGTCAGATGCACGACAGGGGTGCTTTATTACATCTTGATAAATGATGCCACCTGAGTCTTGTTTTCCTATCACTAAAAAGCACAGTTTTGTCACACTCCCTGATGTGTGCTGTGTTTCTGTATTGTTTCATTTTAGACTCGCCTCTGTGATTGATGAGGATTAAGAAGCAGATTTTGCCTAATAGGAAACACAGGAACGTACTCATCCACCACACTGGTAAGAATCCTGATATAGAACCCATGTCTTCCTCGGCTCATGCCGGAATACAGATTTCCTTCAGCTTGATTTTGTGAGATAAGATGGCTGCAGTTTGGTTTCAGTTTTTCTTTGCATCATACGAGCCATTTAACACACAGGCAGTGGCAGATCTAGGATTTTTCTAAATTGGGGGCCATATAAGAGCTGCAGTTTACACAGAGGGGCCAATTATATTTTCAACATCCTTTCACAATTCCTGATTCAGTAAGGTCAACATTAAAGTCCTTGTATGTGTTCTGTTGGCTCTTTATCTTTGAGCAAAACCACACATTATTGGGTATATGCTAAAAACATTTTTTCCGAGAAGCACATTGTGTACTTCAAAAAAGCTATTGAAAATATAAATTCCTAACAAATTCTCATATTTATTTTTAGTATTGCAGGTAAGTGACTAGTTTGTTTTTAAGTCTACAGCACAGATAGGGGCACTTCTTCAGGGGCCATTGGGATACCAGTGTGGGCCAGTTCCCCCCTGCCCCTCCCCCGTACATAATGTCCTGGGACATAATGCACTTTAATTATTTCATATAACAACCCAGAAATAAGACTGTGTGCTGTCAAAAACTCAAAGTGAAGAAAGTCCTCTTATTTTCCCATGACACTGAAATCGATACAACACTGTCTCTTATTGGGATATTTTCATAGAACAATGCTGGACCACAGACACGCCAGGACATGCTGAATTAATTGCCACAAGAGGTTGAGCGCCATTGTTTTGAATGAAAGCATGTTTACGTAATGATTTAAATGGATGGGGCTGGGATGTTGTGCATGATGGCGTTTTCTCTTTACACGTCACACACCTGGAGTTTTTCAGGTAACAAGGCGGTCGGTCTCATGACCACATTTTCACATGTATGCCACAGCAGCCATATTAACATCTGATTTACGCTGTCCCAAGGGTGTGAAACCTGGACAGCAGTGAAAGCAGTGTGTTTGTTACCATGTGTGGCCATTGATCCGCCTCTACCAATACTAATATCAATCTCTGAGAGGAGGACAACTATTCCCCAGATACCCGTCCTCCTGTCATTTGCTTTCTTCTGGACTGCATTACACAGGTCTATTTGATGCAAAAACATGCATGAATACTGTGTTCAATTAGCCTCTGAACAGTATGAATATTATGTATTCATTTATCCCTCAGACTGCATGAATAATAACAGTTCATTTAAACCTCGCCTGAGAAGAAACACTCCATCGACTTCATCACAGTGTCAATAACCTTTGACTGGTGTGATGCATGATGTAATTGGGGTTAGTGCAGATGAGAGGGAACATCAAACTCATAATGATCCCAACACATTGAGGCAAAAAAGAAGAGCTTGTCCTTCTGCTTTTGTTTGCGGAGACTGAGCAAAAAAAATGTCAACACTGTAGTTTGTACTCATGTGAAACGGCATCAAAGTGCTGGAAGGTGAATAATTTTTGGTGGCATCTGCACATTCTGCAATATGCTAATGAGCAAAGCTGCAAAAGCCAGATTGCCAGGAGAAAGAAGGGTAGATGGAGGGAGGAAAAAAAATAGGGAGGGAGTAGAAAGGAGAGAAACAGACGGAGGCTGGTGTAAATTATGGATGCAACCTGCGATTTCCAAGAGGAAAAGAAAGGCAGAGAGAAACCTCAAGTCATGCATATCAGATTACGCATTTACCACATTTTCTTATCATGGTCCGTGAGCAAACTCGTATACAATCTGGCCTCAGTGTATGTGTGTGTGTGTGTGTGTTTTGAGAGAGAGAAAGCACTTATACATTCATCCATGTCGAGTCGTGTGGAGCTGCGTTGTGCTGTCAAGCGTTCTCTGAACTTGATATCACGTGTGTCTGAAGCCATGTTAAGTCGGACTGCACTATTGTGTTGCCATGTTTTGTATTTGTGTCTCCATGTGCGTGTGTCTGCAGTCACATGGTCCCTTATAGTTCACACATATCATTCGAGCATTCAGCGCACATGTGGACACAGTGGGAAAATCTGTCTCACACTGTGGATATTTATATATGACATTGTTTAATTTGTCTAATAATACATGGAACCCTGAGTTTTCAGTTTTCTCTTGTTAAAACAAGCCTTTCTCTCATTATGTATTTTTGCCAACCTGAGCAATTCTAAGTAAGTAAAGTTGAGTAAACGTGAGTGTTCGTGTCCCACCACCACATCCCACCCTTGTGTGCCAGTCCCCTAACAGCCTGTGTGAATAATGGATCCATTCTTGAGTCATGTCTGTGACTGGGGCCCGTGCAGATGTGTGGTTTCCCCACCAGAGGTGGAGGTGGAGGAGACGGGAGGGGCTGGTGGTCTGGAAATAGCTGTGCCTGAGCTTGGAGCACCTTAGGTGGGCCTCTGTGCCAGCCTCACCTTCCTTTACATGCTCACAATAAAAGTGCCATTCTGCTTATGAACCTGGTGCATATTGTTCACTCGTTTATCCAAATTAGAATGAAAAGAAAATGCGGTTTAACTCTCCTTATTCAGCTTTGGTGAGCTAAGTGATCCCCTCAAAGATGGAGGGAAAATAAGAAAAGGGCTGCGTTTTCTAAGAATTGGACCAGAGCCATGTTAAACGAGGAGTGTCTGAGCCCGAGATCTAGCCTGCATGTAAATGTGTGTTAATGTGCAAAGTAGGTCATTTATTTGGAGCAGGGACAGCCATAGTGTGTCTCTCTCTGGAGCGATGTCAGTGCAGGGAATCATTTCATAAGCAGACACTTTGCTGCGTTTGGTGAGCCGCGCCAGGGATTTACATACACAGATATTTTGTTTATATGTCAAGCTGAAACCCTAATATACCAGAGGGGGAGGAGGGGGGGTACTGAAGGTGAAAATGGCTGTGGTCAATCCAGAGACAGCATCAGTAACCACAACCAGAGATAGCAGCCTAAAAATCATACAAAATCAGATTACCGAACAAACAGCTAAGAGGATTAGTTCTGATCTCTCTCTCTCTCTCTCTTTTTCCATCAGACGGACATTAAATCTGCAATCTGTAAAATCCCTTCAAATGATTTTCTATTTTACGTGGCAGCCCTCATTTTCTGGTCACATGCTTGCAGCAGAGCTCTTTCTGCTCCCAGTGAACTCTGCCCTTTTGTTCTGCCTTGAGGCCTGTAGAAATTGCTTTGCTAAACACAGTATCATATCGGGTCTTTTAAAAATATCTTCACGGGGTACAACACGGATCTGACCTCCAATCAGAGGCAGCACTGCTGGCTGTTAAGCCCCATAATGTTATAATAACGTGTTCCACCCGGTGCACTTGCTGTGAGAAACAAAGCAGTGTGGAGAGAGATGCCTGTGGGTCCACGATCGTCGCTTAAACAAGCAGACCGGCACAGACCTAATTAATAGAAAACATGATATATGGAAGGGAATAATTACACCTCGTCCCTGGCTCAGAGATCAAAAATGTTGCTGCATTTCTTAGAATTAATATCAGGAATGATTGTTGGTTTACAAGGAATCAGTGGCAGTACAGTATGTTCTCTGGGAGAAAAAAGACTGTAGATTAATTTGGTTAATATTTCATAAAGCTTACAAAGGCAGAGGGCATTTGAGGCTTTTCAGATTATTTGTTCTCAGCCAATATTACACACCACGACTGAGCCGCTGCGCCACTGTGCTGCTAAAGTCTACAGCTCTCGAGCACAATGCCAAGACAAGGCACTTGCCGTTCAAAGTGTTTGTCTGTGATAGCATTGTTTGTGAAATGGGAGCTGCTCAGATGTACGGCTCCTTTTCCTTTTGCCCGTGATCAGATTCAAAGGGGCCAGCGCAAGCACAGCCATCGTATCGTTGTGATAACCGCTTACAGATCAGTATTAATATCCTCACTGGTGCTCTTTGATATCGACTGATTCATTTTGAATCTGCGCTCGCCTCCACACGCACACACCTCGAACTAAACACAAAAGTCAGCGTCCTGACAGTTTGACAAACTGACAGTCCCGCTCTCAATCAGTCCCTCCGCCTCCTGCTCGCTCTCGCTGATAGAGCTGTATATTGTTACCAACAAGACTATAATCAACGCAAACCTAATCAAATCACTTCTCCGACAAGCAGCCTTAGCTGCCGGGCCTCCACAGAAAACATATTTCAGATCAAGAGGCAGGCCGCTTGTATAGTAGCCCGCACTGTAAGCAGCCGCTGCATGAAATGTCAGGAGAAGTAGGATTATTTTCGAAAATGTCACTGACGGCATAATAGCTCAGTAGAAGAGTGTCTCATGCTATGTTTCTATCTCATGTCTGCAGGTGCGATAGGCGACTCTCTGTGAGTCTTTCTGAGCGCGCAGCACTAAAAGCCACTGTACACAAATGTGAAAACAAGTCGGATACAGATTCTGTTGATGTGTATGCAATTGGCAGAGTGCGCAAGCCATTGAGTGTACCATTAAAGACTGTGTGTGTTTTAGATCTGCACAAACAAATGCACATCTCCAAACCTCCTCATTACTGACAGCAGGAAAGCTGCACTGGGCAATGGGACAACTTGTGTGTGCATCTGTGAGTGTGCCTCCGTGTATCTGTTTGCACCATGCGCCAAATTCAGGCGAGGATCCCCCCCCAAGATTGGTTAACCAAGTTGGCTGCCTGTCCGCATCGCCACAGAGTGTGCAGTTGCTCTGGCCTCTGTTTCGTTTAGTGGCTCCCACGCTCTTGTACTTGTGCCATGGAGATGCACACACAGACACCTGCATGAGAGTGACAAAGTCAGAGAGAGAGGAAGAAATGAGAAGTTACCAATTAAGCTCCTCAGACAGATCTGCCAACAGACATCACACTGTTGTTGTGTGTTTGTGTTGGACAAGTGGTAAGGGGGTGTTTGACTGCAGTGGCAGTCTTTAACCTTATATCATAGCAAGTCCGTTTTTCAGGTTTTTAAACTCATTACAGTGAGTTGTCACTAACCTGCTGTCAATTATCGGTTCAACATAAATTATTGTAACAGTGTATTTTCTT